TCAACTATCAAAATGTCATATGTTGTGGCTGTTACCGCCCTCCGAGTGCGACGCCAGAGTTTTGCGAGAAACTGCATGATGTTTTGAATGATATTGTCAAAAGGCACCCGCATACACCTGTTTTTATTCTAGGCGATTTTAACTACCCAAAAATAAACTGGTCACTTCCTTCCTGTTCATTAAGCTCACTTTCAGCCGGCAGTTTACATTTCGTGGAACTGTGCGAAGACTTTAACTTTACCCAACTCGTAACGCAACCAACAAGAATGGGCCCCAATTCATCAAATGTTCTTGATCTGATTCTCACCACTGTACCTGACCTTGTCCATTCTATTTCATATATCCCAGGCATAAGTGACCATTGTTTCGTGCACTTCAATCTAACAGGTTCTTTAAGGCGTCGGTCAAACAATTGGAAAACAATAAGAGACTACTTACGCGGCGATTATGACTCAATCAACAGTGAACTCGAATCGAATTTTGAGAGCTTTGCTAATGGCTTCTTTGATCGCAGCGTTCAACAAAACTGGAACTTGTTCAAAATGAAAGTTGAATCTTTAATCACGCGATACATTCCCACATACGTTATCAAGGGTCGCCAACGCCCCCCTTGGTTCTCAACTGACTTAAAAAAATTGCGGAATAAAAAGAAACGGTTGTTCCGTCAGGCAAAGCAGACTAATTCGTTAGCCCGTTGGCACGTGTACAAATCTGTCCTTTCCGAATACAGAGCAGCTATCAAGGAAGCCAAGCGCGTTTTTCTTAATAATACCCTTCCTTCAATTCTTGTAACCAATCCTTCTAAGTTTTGGAAAACTGTTAAACCTAGGGAAAAGAAAAACATTTCGCTTACGAACTCAGACGGGCAGCCAGTTCACTGTGAAGAGTGTTGCATTGCAATAAATGATTTTTTTGTTACTTCTTTTTCAAGTTGTTCTGCTTCTGCGTTGCCGCAAATGCCTAGTCGTGATTTTTTACCCATGTATCCTGTTACCGTTGATGCCGTTGGAGTGCAAAATTTAATTCACAAGCTTAAGTTATCCTCTTCTTGTGGCGTAGATGAAATCAACTCAAAGTTTCTAAAAAACACTGCATTGTATTCATCAATTTACTTGTCCTTAATCTTTTCGCAATCTATTCAGACCTCCACTTTGCCGCTTGACTGGAAGGTGGGGAAGGTGGTCCCTCTGCACAAATCTGGTAACACACAGTCTCCTCTCAATTACAGACCAATTTCCCTAACCAGTGTTCCTTGTAAAATGTTAGAACATATAATTTACTCCAACCTTGTCTCATTCCTAGAATCAAATTCTTTTTTTACTCCCTACCAGCACGGATTCCGAAAAAGTTACTCATGTGAAACCCAACTTCTTTATTTTACTAATGACATAGGATCGGCTTTAGATCGCGGCTCACTTGTGCATTGCATTTTTCTTGACTTTCAAAAAGCTTTCGATAAAGTACCTCACCAATTACTCCTCCTGAAAATTAGTGCCTTAAACATTGACCCGAACATTCTTAAATGGATTGAATGCTTTCTGACTAATCGCACTCAGTTTGTAACAACTAATGGCTATAACTCACCTCTTTCTAAAGTAACATCCGGCGTACCCCAAGGTTCCGTATTAGGCCCTTTACTCTTTCTCATATATATAATAATGATCTCCCAGACAGCATTAACTCCGCTATAAGGTTATTTGCAGATGATTGTGTAATTTACCGCGAAATAAACAATGAATATGATAACCAATTTCTACAGTCAGACCTTGACACTGTCTCAACCTGGTGCAATAAATGGCTTATGACTCTCAACACTAACAAATCTAAATGCATGTCAATAACCCGGCGATCTATTTCTCCCCCCTGTACCTACAGAATTAACGCCGTTCCCCTCCAGCATGTCTCTTCATATAAGTACCTCGGCGTTTACATTACCAACAATCTATCTTGGCACACGCATGTTACCTACATCTGTAATAACGCTAACCGAACGCTAGGATACTTACGCCGCAACTTTTCTCGCGCTCCGCTGTCCCTCAAAATTCTATTATACCGATCACTAATTCGCCCAAAGCTTGAGTACGCGTCCGCTATATGGGATCCCGTGCAGCAAAATTTAATTAACGCGTTAGAATCTGTTCAGAACCGCTCAGTTCGGTTCATTTGTTCTAATTATTCCCGTACTGCTAGCATATCAGAAATGAAATCTAACCTTGACCTACCCAATTTAACTGTCCGGAGGAAACTGGCGCGACTGCATTTTTTTCATGAGATATTTTTTCACAATCCATCAATGAAGCGAGACCTCATTTCACAACCGTCATACCACTCATCGCGCATTGATCATCAGCATAAGGTTGCCATTCCGTTTTGCCGCACCAAATTCTTTTCAGCAGCCTTCTTACCGAAAACAGCCGCCGATTGGAACCACCTTCCCTCTTCCGTTGTATCAATAACAGACCCTTTGTTATTCAAGACTGCAATTTCTCAGCAATGCTTGTAACTATACGCAGTTTCCATTATGTATCTTTGTCTTGTATGTGCTTGAATTCTTATACATTTTTAGTTGACTTATGTTGCCTTCCTGATTTGCGCATGTGATACTTGTTTCTTTATTTTGTCTTTTTTTCTTGTGTGTTATATATGTTGTACCCACCCCCTCTGTAATGCCCTACGGGCCCTGAGGGTATTCTAATAAATAAAATAAATAAACATCATCCAAGATCCTCAAAGAGCTGTGCTTGAACCCCGGCCTACTGAGTAGCAAACGCATGGCTGAAAAAGACCGCCGCCGAACCAGGGACTCTACCCTCAGGCGTGCGTCTGCAGAAAATGTGCAGCGGACGCTCAAGAAGCGGCACCTGGATGCCAGCAGTCAAGGGGACTATGCTTCTGGGGCCTACTAGTCATTTCGCTCCAAAAATGTACAGAATGTTTTACCATTTACATTAAACATAGCACCGTTGTGTTTTTTGCCATTTTCTCAAAATGCATATTTTTGACGTTTAGGAAATTCTTGAGAGGTACATCTCGGCATGCGGTGCAGCTAGAAAGATAATTTCTTTTGCATTGTCAAGCTGAATGTTTAAACCTTGAAGTAAGGGAAACAGATTTTGCATTTCACGTTTAAATAATTGTTCAAATAACTGGTTAGCAGGCATACTTTAAACCGAGAAATTAGAATTGATGTAAACTTGCATGTGTGATTGCCAGACAAAAAAACTGCTTCCATCATTTCATTCTCCACAACTTCTAGTATCTATTCATGCCATGCTGGTAATTTTTTGTTGACTAGTTTTTTTCTATTGTTCTCAAGAACAATCACGAAAGATTTTTAATTATCTCGGGAACTAATTAGCTTACATCAAAACTAATTGGATATTTGAAATCAGCTAAAAAAACTGAACAAGCCCATGGAGTTTCATTAAAATTGGTTGGAAAGCAAAAAAAAAAAAGTTTCTAAGACCAGTGTGCCCCCTTAAGAAATATCAAAAATGTTTTTTTATTGTTGTCAGAAGTTTCCATTGCATGGTGTTTCTTTTTATTGTATATTTTTATTGAACAGTGTTATTAATATAAGCTTTGGCAGTTCCATAAATGAGCGTGCCGATAAATTAATGGTGAACTTTCACCACTTTTTTGTAGGCCCTTTTTGAAATAAAGGCCTGCAAAGTAGTTAAAAAGACATTTTTGGGGTCAAATTTGAGAATTTTTATAGAACAATCTACACTAGACAGAGAATCGAAAAATAAATGAATGTAAGCACAAATACACTTATATTTAGCTAAACATATTTGAGGTATGTAGCTTTAATATATTTTGTGTAATTCATTGGAAAAGTGCAAAAAAGAAACAGCAGGGCAGGTAATTGTGGCACTCCATTCTTCGTTATTATTGATTTAATGTGGTTCGAAAAAATTTGTTGAGCAAAACCCATTGCAGATCTCTTCTTTCCACTTGTCAGGCAACAATATATATATTTCTGAAAGAAATTTGGAATAAATGACTGAAAGTCATGGAATGAATGACTAAATGAGCTTATTGCCTCACGAATTCACTGCCGGAAAAGTTTTTAGAATACGTCCAGTACGAGCAGAGTTAGAAAGGTTTGTCGCACGCTGCAACCACATTCTCTCGTTTCGACGAAAGGGCTGAAAGCTAAGTAGGGTGGTGTGTCACAGGAAAAGAAAATGTGTCACGTGCGCTTTGGGACCATGAGCCTATTTGTCTTATTTTCTTTCAATCTGTGGGTTCTCAGTGTGCATACATTTACAAGTCGTGGCCTACCACGGCGGCCCCATTAACGTCCAAGCACGATATGCTCAAATCAGCCAATGGCTGATACAATGGCTGTGACGAGTGTTTTTTGAGCATGTGGCATCATTTGTAAAGAGAAAAGAAACCAATATTTACCTGACCTTTAGAATTTATTCTGAATTCTAGGTGGCGTGTGGCGTTATATTTGACTGGCGTGTTCTCACAAGTCTCAGCTACCGATCAGCCACATTTTCTGACCATGCTAAAAAAGTGTTGTGAGGCCCCTTTAACAACGCAGTGGCGGCTGTACGATTCCTGCATATATTTGTCTGTAAACAAGCACTTTCAAAACTTTAAGAATTACTTTGTTTCTACCCTGATAGGCAATAATAAGTAAAGCACTCATGAGTGTGAACAGGAATATGTGCAGGGTCGTCCACATCTAAGGTGGATATGTCATTAGTATTCAAGCCCTCCTATGAACTAATACATACCTTGGAAAATTCATATTGCTTTCATTGACTCCATAATTGGCCATCAAACAATAGGCATTTCTCTCATGAAGTGGAGTAGTGTTTTGCCAAGTTGTATACTAATGAGGTGTTCACCTTAGATGTGGCCGACTCTGTACATCTCAGCAGTGCCATTCAAAATTGCCACCAGTCAAAGAGCTTTGGTGTGCATTGTGTGACATGCTTTTAATAATTCTTCAAGATTGCTTACATAAGTGCTTCTGTTTGCAGTGTTCCTCGGATCTTACAGGTGTGCAACAGCGTGATTCACGAGCTTCCAGCCAATCGATTACAAGTTAGTGACCATCAGTAGTGCATTCCTTGCATGCAAATCAATCGCCATGCTCATGGGACAACCTATTGGAGCAATTGCTTTTACAAATGTGGACTGGCAGTGACAGAAATTCATGCGACGTCTTAGTATTTGTTGCCTTTCTCTATGGGTAAAATGCAACTTCTCGTATTTTTGAAGTAAAAGCTTGGCAAGCTACGGTAGTAATAACAGTTTTTGGGGATTCATGTCCCAAAATCGTGATCTACTTGTGAGGCATGCCATAATGAAGGGCTCTAGAAATTTCATCTACTTGAAATTGTTTAGCCTGCACTTCTCTAGTCAGTGAATGGCCATGAACTTGAGTATTTGATGCACTCATTTGTGTATACAGTACGAGAGATAGAAAGAAGGAACGCTTTTTATGAAACTGTTGCACATGGGACTCTAGCATTTCTGCCTGCATCGGAAACTCAATCGCCGGGGCAAGGACCGCAGCCACAGACTTTGATACAGCATCCGAATACTTTAGTGGCAAGCAGCTGTGTGAGGTAATACATTCATATATTTGGACGGTAAATTCAAAATTTCTGTGAAACTTGAAATTACTGCGTCAAATGGTGTCTTTAGCCATTTTAAGATGACCACGGCTACAGGAGTAATAATAGTGAAAGCAGCAAACAAACAGCATTTTGCCGATTTCAGACGATTTCTGACACATTTCCTAAAACTGCCAAGCCATTTTTATTTTGTGCGGTAGTATCTCTAGCTATCATAGAGACTGGATTTTAGCCAAATGCCTATTTTGTTCCTTGTGTTTCTGTCGTGCCACTTTGATATATGAGCATAAATTAGAAGGGCTTTTATAGTGTTCTTATAGCGCCTATAAATTCTTATTTTCAGCATTAGTGCAGGGGTGAGACAGCTGCACATATTGCGCATTTTTAATACATTTCCATTTTCTTGCACCAAGCTGTTCCAAAAGCATAAAAGTTGTGAAAGTTGCGTCGAACTGCTCCAAAACAGCCTTAAAAGCTAGAATTTTGATGCAAACCTCAGCTTCTGTGGAGAAAAAATACAGAGTTGACTAATAGGACACGCCAAATTGGGCTTTCTTACTTTGCACCTTTCTGGTGACGAAGATCCTATGCATGGCACTGCCATAATTTCCTCTAAGCTGTTGTAAATATACGTGACCCCGCGAAAATGTGCTGCCGTGCATCGAGCGTGCTGCTTCAACTAGCTAGGCTGTGCTTTTTGGTGCCTCTGTCGCCTAGAAAAAAACCAGAGTCAAGTGACGAGCATGGCGAAGCTGAGTCTCAAGTTCTTTGTTGTGCGTAGCACGCTCCTGTGGTCACTACAATTTTTAATTATTGATTGATTATGTGGCATTTAACATCCCGAAACCATCATATGATTATGAGAGACCCCGTAGTGGAGGGCTTCGGAAATTTCGACCACCTGAGGTACTTTAAGGTGCACCCAAATAAGAGCACATGGGCCTACAGCATTTCCGCCTTTATCGGAAATGCAGCCGCCGCAGCCGGGATTCGATCCCGCGACCTGCGGGTCAGCAGCCGAGTACCTTAGCCACTAGACCACTGCGGCGGTATACAATTTTCATGTCGATGCTGCTGCGTGTGGTCACTTACGCATGTGCGTTTGCCATGAGCAAGGAAGTGTAATCGTGGAGTCATTTCCCTGCATTCGACGCGTAATCTGGATGGTCTGGCGTGTGCATGTTCTCGAAATGGGTTCCGTGAGTGACAGAACGCATGCAACCCATTCCCACTTTACGCCCATTAACTACTAATTCATTTAGACAAGCAAGTTCTCATTGCATTTAGAAAAGCTATTGCACGCGAAATCCGCAGATAGAGAGACTTGGTTATTTGCAAAGCCATGGTGACAGAACAGGCGTTCAAACCATTTTAATCTATATTAACGGGCACCTCAGTGCTTTATTCGTGACTTATAAGGGGTCAGCGATCACGTGGTACAGTGTTCATGAATGTTGATTTGCCACTGCTCTGTTTCGTTATCTAGACTTGCAACGAGCGCTTTAAGAGGCGTCGCTGCGTGCTGGTTCTGGGCTACACGAGCTTTTAGGCTTAGTTTAATGTTCAACCGGTGTTTTAGTCGGCAGTTGTTCTGCTGTGTGACTTCGTTCTGTTTCTTTGAATCTTTCTTTGAAATGAAACCGGCCTCTGTAGATTCAGCGGTTCGTTTGCGTGGACTCGAATTTCTTACTTGTGTGGCGCAGTGCGAGCGCTTTACGCGAGTCACGGCCTAGGTGGCAATCGAAATCGAGAGTTCTACATCGACTGCGATGACCAATGATATTAAAAAAAATAGAACTGCCCAACGTGTGCCATATTAAACACACGTTGGTGCTCGTGTGGAAAGACATTATCAGTATCATTCGCTTATCACTTGGTGCCATATGCCAGCGCTTTACGAGATAGTCGATGCGGCGAGGTTTCTGGGCTCCCGCGCAGTACTCTTGATGGGTGTCACGCATGAGGTGGTCGCAAACGGCAGTGCGGGGCACTTTTGTTGTCTGTTAAAAGCTCTTGACGCTATGGTGCCAGGCTTTTGTTTAAGGGAAGGACCACTGTTACGTAAAAAAGATTCTTGTGCAATCACAATTATTGAATTTATTTTTGAGTTTGATGCTTTCTTCTTTTTAGTTGTTTCCAGGAAACCTTGTCTCCAACAAAACCTTTTTTTAAATATTTCACATTTGTTACGAGAGCTAGATAGGTCACGTGGTATGTAAAAAGGCAGGGCAGCTCATACCTGGCGATACTCTGTTTAAAAACTTTCTTCAAAATTTGTTTCAGTGTTACGTGTGTTATAAGCTAATTAATATATGCACTGGTGCCTCCATGTTGCTAAAAAGTTGTATTTTCAAGCTTTCAGGACAACATACAAAATGCCACTAACTGCTCTAAAACAAGGCTATTCTTCTCCAAAATTGAAATTTTGCTGCAACAAAAACTGCTCCCAATGTAGTCCCAGCCGTCTCACCCCTGTTGGTGCCTTGATGTCTACAAGTGCCTGTAAATGCCTATTTTATAAATCAGTGCCTACACGAACGCTATCGAACGTTAAATTTTGCTTTCAAATTCATGTTACTGGGCAACATTAATCTTTAGAAACTCTTGGGTATCAAACTAGCCTTCTACTTCAACCACCTTGCATTTAACAGCCGTTAACAGCAGTGAAATGAGATGCACCGGCCCACCGATGCCCTCACATGCCGTTGGCAGTTGAAGGAGGACAGTGAAATACTCTATTCCTGCAATCCTAAATGAGAACACATTTCAGCATCTGCAGAGACAAGGCGAGAGGGAAATCAATATCAAAACAGGAAAGGGGGGGCCAGGAAGAGGATGCGGGGGGCAGCGCAGCTTCTACAGCTGGTTTTCCATTGTGGTGGTAGGCAAGAAATAGGGGTCCCTTTGTGCAGCCGTGTGAAGGATGAGGACGAACGCGAAAACGGGGAGTGCCATCAAGGGAAAGGAGAGTGCAGATCAAAAGAAAGATGTAATGTGCATGCGGATATTGTTTTCTTTTTTTGTTTTGTAATTTACCTCCTACAGGGCTCTTCATGACACCAGATGAGAAATTGCCGTTACACTGGAGGTTGTTGCATACTAAATCAAGAGCATATTCATTTTCAATTTAATTCAATACGAGCTGTGAAACCGTCATTCGAGAAGGTGATCTTGAAACCCTTGTCATTCACCTTGTCTAGCTTTCGCAATTCAAATTCCTCACGTGCACTCTACGTATCGGAGCTGGAGTGTCACATGATGCAAACGTGTCATGCGCACGTAATGTGCCTGAGGTCATGCACGTGAGCATTGTGTCGTTCTGGCACTTTTTGTGCTGTGTACTGCCTGTTTCTGGGGGGACTCCTTTGGTGCGCATGTTTGGAGAGGCTGACGCAGATGATGTGACCTTACCGCAATACACTGTGTCACACAGCTGGAACTCCTGTAAGAGATGATGCACTAATTATGCGTCAAGCATTTGCAGGCCTCGCACCAGCTCAATGCAGGAAGACCAAAAACATGAACACACACGAAATAAAAACAGATAAGTTTTAGATCTCAATTTAACTTAACGTAAACAATGAGAATAAAATTGCCCGCAGCTTCCCTCGGGGGAACACTGAGGAGGATGCGGACCATATAATTGGTTAACGGGGTGTTAAAGTGCGACTTACTTGGGTCGATGGCTAAATTGGTTAACGTGGTTGTGAAATGGGGTGTTAAATTGCGACTTACTTGGGTCGATGGCTAAATTGGTTAACGTGGTTGTAGGAGGGGGTGTTAAATGAGTGAACACGTACACACATATGCGAAAGGGCGGCGCTGGTCGAAGGGACGTCGATCATTGTGTTTGTGGATTCGTTGGAATTCATTTCACCGCGACCTTGGACGTCGGCGCGCCGTACAAACCAACCGACGAGCGGCAACTGAGCGAGCGAGCGCCGACCTTGAGTATATATACAGCACGACGGCGCATGCACTGTCAGCTGTTGAATGTTCTCGAAGCGCGACGCCACATGCGCGTCCACTGGAGAATCAGGAGAATTGTAGATGTCGAACGCGGTGTGTAGAGGAGGAAGGGTGCACAGATGGTGGAGGAGTGAAGCGCGCGCGGTGTGTAGAGGAGGAAGGGATGCACAGATGGTGGAAGAGTGGGCGACGGCGCAACGGCGCATGCGCGCGCGTCAGCTGTCGAATGTTCGAGAAGCGGTGCGGACGGCGCGGACGGCGCACTACAAGGCGCGAGTATAAGATGCTCCGCATCTAAAAAATGTATGCACCCATCCCATACCAATTTGGAAATTTTCAGTTGGCTCCAGTTAGTTTCATTTGTGAATTAGTACACAATTGTGCCATTTGGACTGTATGTCAATTGGGTCAAATTGAGCAGTAGCATAGAACCAACTGGGCCAATTGGGTGTATTCCTATGAACTGATTGGTTGAATTCCATTTGCATCAAATTGGGCAGTCGGTACATAATCTCTTGGGCCAATTAGCTGTATCTCGATTGGTTCAAATGGCGCGGTTAGCACATCCGTTTGTAAAAGTGTTCAAGCTAGGCACCTTGGTGGTGCACAATGCCCATGCGAAATTCCAAGAATAATAAAAAATTGGCCAGAACTTGCACGCTTCTCAGCTGGTATATCGTGTGTCAAGTATGTTGCACGTCACATATATTGCATGTCATTCAGCGCCGCCTGTAGCCATGATAACGAGAGTACACTGCCGTCATGTCTACAGGCTGCGTTGACTTACGCTCCCACATTTGAATGCACATACATATGCCATGAAGTGGACTGGGCAATAGCCGTCATAGTAGTTCAGTTGGTAGAGCATTGGACGCGTTATTCAAAGGTCCCAGGTTCGGTCCTGTCCACGGCAAGTTATATTTTTGTCTAGTGTTCTTTGTTCACATGTATATTATAATTACCACATATAACATCCCCTATACTTTGCTTGGCATAATTGTCCGTTAGATCTCATTAATAGAGGGAAAGATGTTCTTCAATGTTTAAGCCATTTGTGACAACTTAGAAATGCAGTCTTGAGGCACCACACTGTAAAATGTAATAAGAAATCATGCACACATATTCAAACTTTCATGATTTAGGTTCCTAGAAACCACTGCTGCAGGATTCTGTAGCGGAGAAGAGGCTGAACAAAATAATGGAGGCATGGGGAAGGGCAGGGTTGGCCTGATGGGTCATCGATGCCAGGGGTGCAGGCAGAAAGTTTTTTTCTGTGTGCGCAGCTTTTTGATCTGAAGTGGGGGCCGGGCTGGCTCATGTGGATGTGTGTCATTTCGGGCTCTGTATGCTATAGCAAAAAAATGTTTCGAGGAGGTTTACGGGCCCCGCACACACCCTTATGCGTGTCGCTAATTGGTGCATTGTTCGAACTCCTGAAAAGAGAGAAAGGGAGGGGTGCTTACTCAGGGTTTATTGTAATCAGCCTAGGATTGAAGTTCTTAAATGTTTGCAAAAAGGTAGTGATGCACCTTAGCAAGCGAGTACTGTATTGTATTCTAGCATCACCTTCTTTCGAACCTGTTGTATTACCGTGTGCTCAGATTTGGGTGCACGTTAAAGAACCCCAGGTGGTCGAAATTTTCGGAGCCCTCCACTACGGCGTCTCTCATAACCGTATGGTGCTTTTGGGACATTGAACCCCACATATCAATATCAACCTTCATTTGAACCAAGCTCTTTATGTACTCTTTTGGCATGAAAGTTTGTCATGCAACATAACAAAACTTGAAAGGGCCCTGAAACACTTTTTTGAGTAACCGTTGAATTAGTTCACCGGAAAAACATATCGCCTCACAAATTCAATGCGGCAAATATTTTAAGAATCCGTCCAGTACGAGCGAAGTTACAAAGATTTGTCACACGCTGCAATACATTCTCTCTTCTCTCGTCCAAAAAACCCGATGGAAGCTAAGCAGGGAAAGATGAAAGGGGCAAAGAAAAAACGTCACGTGCACCTCATGACCTTGAGTACTCTTTTTTTTTTCACCCCGCCGCGGTGGTCGAGTGGCTAAGGTACTCGGCTGCTGACCTGCAGGTCGCGGGATCGAATGCCGGCTGCGGCGGCTGCATTTGCGATGGAGGCGGAAATGTTGTAGGCCCGTGTGCTCAGATTTGGGCACACGTTAAAGAACCCCTCGTGGTCGAAATTTCTGGAGCCCTCCACTACGGCGTCTCTCATAATCATATGGTGGTTTTGGGACGTTAAACCCCACATATCAATTTTCTTTTTTTTTTCTTCGAATACACGGCTTCTTCAGTGCGATAGCGCATGCTTGCGTGGACAAGTGACGGTCTCTTGCGGCGATCTTTGTATCAACCGAGCGCATCAACCGAGCGCATCATGTTCAAATCAGCCAATGGCTGATAGATGGGTAATCTACATGTGATTTTTGAGCGTCTTCTGTCATTTGCCGAGAAAAGAAAGAGCAATTTTTAGCTGACTTTAATAATTTATTGTGAATTCCCCGCCGCATGCTGCAAGGCTGGAAATTTGGCTCACGTGTTCTCAAGAGCGTCTACTACCAACTGGCAGCGTTTTATGAACATGCTTAAAAAGTGTTGCAGGATCCCTCTAAGAGTTTTTTTGTTGTGTCTGTGACCCTATGTTTGTCTCAGTTTGAAAACTCTACTTCCAGGACAAGATGGAGGCCAACGTAAAAGGAAGCGGAAGCCAGCACAGAGGAATGCGTATCGAGCGGCAGTCGAGATGGTGTTCCCCAAGGACGCCTCCACACAGTGCAGCCTGGACGTGGCTTCCAAGACAACGAGCTGTGGTGTCAGAACTGTGTCCAAGGCTGTGCAGTACAGTGGTTGAATTTATTTCTATAAACCTGGAAAGGCTTTAGATTTGAAATCGGTGTACTTTAGCCTGGCCACGTCTGCGGACCTCGCTTGCTCGAGTGCCTCGGGGACTGTGCTTTTCAGCTGCTGAATGATCATGGGTTTGATTGCTGGCCATGATGATTGGATTCTGCTAGGGCAGTAAACCAGATTACTTGCGTTCTTCGCATGGTGTGCTGCATTTAAAATGCTCTAGTTGTTGCTTTTTTTTTGGAGTCCATGCATGCAATAATGAATCATGAGAATTTCAATTATTGTGGAAAGTCGTATTTCTTCACGCATGACTCAAAGTTTTGTTGTGCAGAGAAACCTCGATACATCATTGCTAACAAAATCAGCAGTTTGCTTCTTCAGGTTCTACCTTAGTTAAATTGGAATCCGGCCATTTTTGTGAAGTATGGTCCTAAATACATTTTAACATGGAAGGTTTTGCTAGAGATGTTTCAGCAATGAGCAGCATGGAAGAGTCCTCTTCTAAGGGGTTAAGTTACTTTGAGAAGTAAAACTGTTTTGAACAAAAACTGCTCATCTTTGTAAAACTAACCGTTTTGTGGCTTGTCCACATGAAATATCTTCTCCCGAGTGTTTTCGACGAGACTCACTCGTTTCCAAGCTTGTTAGTGTGTTAATTAGGTGATGGCAGCACTTGCTTAACAATTTTAACTGCCATTTCACTTTTTTAATATGTGTTAGAAAAATGTAGTCTAGTGATGCATGCATTGCTTGTGCATGATCCCAGAAAAAGAGCCTTTCATTATGGTAGGGCTCTCCAGACGTCAATTATTTAGATGCTGAACTTTACTTTGATGACTTGACGTGTTATATTCACCAGTTTCTCGGACATGTGGAGAAGCATGCTGTTGGAGAAGCATGCTGTTGGAGAAGCAGGCTTTGCTGGCACCAGAGATCAGGGATGAAGATGCCGAGGCAGGAGGAAGGTGAACTTAAGAGGGTTTTTTACATTATGTACATACAAGCTGAGCTCTTTTGCCCAAAGCTCAACATCGAAAAAGCTCTTACTTTGAAAAGTTCTCTGAGCAGCCCGCGAGGGCTGATTTTCACCAATTTCATTTTCCCAGATCCCTAAATCGAGGAACACCCCCATGCTGCACTGTCTAATAATAGGTCCCACAGCACTCATTAGGGTCAATACGCCAGCGCCGCCGCCAACATACACAACCCAAACATGTGTATGATCCCGGCGATGCTGTCTTAACTGGCGAATTTTCCTTCCAGCAAGCGGAGTGTAACGAGTCTGTCATCTAGTCGCTCAGGCTAACCACCCATGTTATCGAACGGCAGTCGCTGGCCAAGCGCCTCCACGGGCAAGTGCCTGGACATTTCGTGCTGATTTGAGCGTCGGCGGCCCATCAGTGAGAGACGCACCGTGTGGGGGTACGATGTCTGTTTTTGGCGGAAGCTCGCATTGCGGCTTTTCCTGGAGCACGAAGACGCCACATGTCACATTTCCGCACTGGCTCCAATGACAGCAGTGCTCCATCGAGCAATTGCAACAACGCACCGCCCAGTACATGAAAAACAGCAGAGCGCATTAGCGCTGTGCCTTATGTCCACAAAGTGAGGTGGCCGCAATAAAGGGTGACTCGCTGAACAGAACAGCTAGTGTACTGGCGGGAGACTCGACCTGAGGGTGACCAGCCGTACAGGTTGCCTGAAGCATCATTGTTGGTGGCGTCCTCCAGGTCACTGCCGATGACGCACGGCATTCTTCAATCATCTATGGGGCTTTTCTCCCTGGGATTGCTCAGAAATACACACAACTACCGGCATGAGGAAGCGCCCTGTTCGCACTGAGGCACATAGAGTCTGAAAAATGATGTTAAAACAACCTTCCTTAAACAGTACAATTAGAGCACAAAGCAGCAATCAGTGCATTTCTCTGAGCTCACTTTGAAACTTCAATTCCAACACTTGAATAAGCTTCCTAATAAACTGCTTTTAAGAAAATTAACTGTAAAGTGATGCGCTCTCCATAGCATGCATACCTGTGTGCCAGCATTAAAAATACGTTGTAACCTACGAGGCCCCATACTCATTAAACAAAGCATCTTGCTTCTCGCTATCTTTCAGTCCCGAAAATTTTGTGCCGCCAAAGCTAGTCGTCGATTTCCCTCAAGCAGACGAAAAGGTAACTGTCATGTTGCATCTGCATCAGGAACATCCACATTACACGTCCGCAATCGCATGTTATAGTGCTCCTGCATGGATGAACTACTAATTAACTCTTCCTTGCAGTTACCGTCTTCATAAAAGCTACGCATTAACTCTTGAACGAACTTTCCTTACTGACGTCCACACCAAACACCTGTGAATAAAACAAAAAATACCAAAAAGAATTTTGAACCCTGAAAAAACTTTCAAGAAATATCCTTGCGTCTCCGAGCTCATTCAAAATCCGTTTCTAACATCGCTCTTACTCGACGAATGCTTATAGGCGTGTCGTTATGCTACTGCACAGCTCCTACCTTTAAAACAAAAACATACAAAGCTTAAGAAATGAACAAAAGCTAGCACTTGTTACCTAAATGCTACCTGGTAGCCGAAAGACTTACAAGAACATGTTACAAAATCAAAACTAAAATTAACAGTCTAAACAAAAGTTCGAAACAAAACAATCAAATCAGCTAACAAGCCTTCCAGATGCTTACCGCTGTCACTTAATTTTGAGATCAACGCGTGGTGGTCGTGCCCTGTGGGCCTTTCTTCGCAAACGGGAAATGAAACAATAGCAAAACCCATTCGCTTCGCTTCTGAACACCACCAGGCTCCTTGCTGGCGACCTTCGTTCTTCACCTCGCTCGGTAACTTGTAGGTTCTTGCGAGCCGCCGACCTTGCACTCCCGCGCCCCATCAAACTTACTGTGGATAGAATGACGGGAGGCTGACTGTCCTGTTCCTTTTGTCTGCATTTTCGCCCTACGCGCATTTCTTTTTCTTTTTGTCCGGTGGCTCAGACTCGTGCAACACAGCTTCGGCGCCAATGACGAACGCTTCGTTCGGCTTACTACGTTCGAACGTTTACTGCCTTCCTTGAAGCCTTTTGTGGTCTTTGTCAGACTCCTGCCTGTATGACACTGCTTCCACCTAAGCCTTTTCTTGGGGCCCATTTCTGACCTTTCCACTCTGCTCTATTGCACGTCAGCACGGTGGTTGGTTTCGTTAGCCATCTTGCCCATGCAGTCTAAATGATTTGCGCACAAACCATCATTTCACTCACTCTCGACACTGGCGAACAACTTAACGCATCCCGTAATACTGCAGCTGTTTCCTTTCGAAGAAGATAGCTCGCATTCTAGGTAGCTGCTCACAACTGCATTGTATTCACTAATCTCTACTTTTGCTCCCCCTCTTGACTCACTCCCGTGTTCTCCCGTGTTCCTGACAACTCCCGTGTTCCTGACAAGCGGGTCGAAATCCTCTTGGACACCGCATGCAGGAACTGCCGTTGTGATACTCTTACGTGAGCCAAGCTCACATGATGTACTGATTCTTCATATACATACACGTGCACCTCACCGAGGTGACGATAGTTATAGCGCGAGAAGAGAACGACAATGATGAATCAACATTTATTGGGCCCAACATTGTTGGTAGTCTGCGCAGGCACCAGACGGGGCGGTTCCCTAGTTGCGGGACTCGTATGTATCCAGCAGCTCCTGGCCCCTGTCCGTCAGTGCATGCTGAGTCGGTAGGGCGGGGCTGGATAACAAGGCCTCCCATCGCTCAATGGGTTGAAGATTCGGGGTGTCGGGAGGTAGAGACGGTGGGGCGTTCTCAAGTTCTGTGCACTCTGCCAAGATGTGCGGCAGGGTGCCATTTTCTATTTTAGAAAACGGACAGAGCATGTCGTGATCCGCAAGGTACAGGCGGTTCAGCACTACGGGATACGTAAGCGATCCCGCCTACGCTCGACGCAATATCGTCTGTTGTTTCCTGGTCAGGTCGGGGTGCGGTTCTGGTAGTCTGCACCTTCTCTCTCGGTACATCTGGGCAATGTGCCGAAAGTTGGTAACCGGGTGTGGTAGCTCTTCCGGCTCATGCTCGGCCGGATTGACATTTCTTGGGCATGATAGTCGGCAATGGTGTTGCCTGCTACCTGCGAAGGAGCCGGGACCCACGTGAGCTTTATGGCTCTTCTTGAGGCTTGCATTTAGATAGAATGGCTCGTGCCACAGATGAGATTACCCCCCTGCGGAAGCTTCTATAGGCTGTCTTTGAGTCGGTAACCACCGTGTCCACGCTTGGCTGTACGAGTGCGAGGGCCACAGCCACTTCCTCGGCAATTGCAAGGTCTTTTGTCCTCGGGGACGCGTCGACGATTAGCCTGTCAATGGACGTAACCGCTACTGCAGCACGGTCACTGTGTTTTCGGAGTTAAGCGTCCGCGTACATGACCCTGGGGTTCTCTTCCAGCTTCCAGGTCATGGCTTTGGCCCGCGCAGTGCGCCTCTTGTCGTCCTTGCCCGGCGTCATGTTCCGGGGAAGGGGTTTCAATTGAATTGTTGTCTTCCAGTCCTCCGGAAGGGCCGCCTTTATGGGTACTGGCTCGATCTGCCATCCTATCTTTCGTAGGACAGCTTGTCCGTGCTCCGTTTGACTGAGCCGTATTCTCTGATTAGAGAGGTGGGCTTCGATGAGCTCCTCCATCGTTTTGTGGGCGCCCATGTCTAGCAATCTTAGCGTAGACGAGTATATTGGCACGCCCAGTGCTTGCTTCGCTGCCTTGCGTAGCATCGTGTTGAGGGTGTCCCTATTCACCGTCATCAGCTGGAGATACCGGGCGCAGTAGGTGACCCGTGACACGGCGAACGTGCGTACCAAGCACGTGACATCGTCCTCTTTCAGGCCTCGGTTTCTGTTAGACACCCTTCGAATAATCCCAACAACCTGTTCGGTTGTAGTCTTGACCTTTGTGACGGCGGCTTGTGCCTTCCCATCACTCTGAAGCAGTAGACCGAGAATCCTAATTCGTTGTGTTGGTTTGATGACTATTCAGTGGATGGTGATAGTCACGTTAGGCGGCGGCTCCTTCTTGGGTTTTCCTAGTTGGATAATGAGCAGCTCCGATTTTCCGGGAGCGCAGCTCAGTCCACACAACTTGGCACAGTCATTGCCGCCCGCTGCAAGGCTGCCTCTGCTCATGCATCGGACCCGGCTCGAGCTGTTCACAACGGGATGTCATCGGCGTAGCACGCGTGGTCTACAACTTCGATTTGCTTGAGCAGACCTGGTAGGGACAGAAGGGCCAAATTGAAGAGCAGGGGCGACAGGACCGACCCCTAAGGCGTGCCTCGATCGCCGAGCTCCTCCCCTATCCTGATGGTCGCCGTTTGGTTTGACAGAAAGTCACTTATGTAGCCAAATGTCTGGTTTTGTTCAAATTTTGCAACACGCTCGCGTGCGACACGTTGTCTAAGGCTCCTTTCAGGTCGAGGGCGAGTATCCCACGTGGCGCGTGCTTCATTGCTTGCTTGATGACCAGCTCGTGGAGTTGGATCAT